CTATATTTACTAAATAACCATTACACTAATTGTCGGGTGGTTAAAAATGTTGATAAAAGATGCTACATCATATAAACTCAAAAACAAAAAACTATTGCATCATACAAAAAATAAGTAAGTATTTTTATGGTGGAATTGTTTTCTTACTTGCAAAAGCAAACACTAACAACTACTGACTGAAACCGTTCTTCTACCTAGGCTATGGTAATCAATTTCTCTTTTAAACATTTTTTCCAATTCAATCTTTGTATTCTACTCAACTTATTTTTCAGAATTGTGGTTGGAAATTATAATTAATACATGGAAGTTTTTTTTTACTTGATAATTATTGTAACTATGAAATAATTGCTAAGAAATTATCGTATAAATTGGAATATTGCATAACTTTTGACGCGCACTTCCTGTATAAATTGGAAATTATAATTGATACAAGGATGTTTTGTAGATTATACTAAGAAATTGTTTGGAAGTTTTCAATGAGTGTTTGTTACAATTAGTGTAATTATTGACGAAATATGACACTACATGTAATTATTACTCCATTACATTGAAAGTCTCTATTAAAATACAAAATTCTTAAACTGCCATAAAATATTTCCGACACAATATTCATAACCACATGTATTGTTCATTAACGTATCAAACTGCCATCATCATACACATAAAAGTTTCGAGTAGTATTATATGCTTTGTGATTTGTGTCAATTATCATGATTTTAGGTAATACCTATAAATCAGGACTCCAATAATTGAAAGTAGATGGAAGTAGTTAGGTATACTAAATTAGGTAATTATTAAAATATACTAATATTTAAGCTTAAAGTATATAGTTCAGTATATTTACTCTTGGAAAATATTCCCTAATTATTCATAAATAACATTAATTATATATCTCAGAGACTATATATCATATGCTTTGTAATTTAACATTAGGTATAATTCTCATTTAGCCTTAATTTGATATTAGTATAATTTGTTTAAGTTTAGTGTAATTGGTTGTTACTATTTTTCAACGTCATTAGTATAATAATTTTAATTTTAAATAAATTACATACAATTTTTTGGCAAATATATCATCAATATAAAAAATAATACTCATCAAATGTCAAGCCAATATCAAAAGACACAAACGACAGAAAATGAACGAAAAAGAAAACAAAATATGGACAGCGAGCAACGAGAAAATCATTTATCGAGACGACGAGAACTTTATAGGCGGCAACAAGATCAAGAGAAACAAGCTTAAAAATGACGCATTGTAAACCGTTAGTTGAGAGTTCCATTTCAAAATTTGACAAATATGACTTTTTCAAGTTCACACTTTTAAGGAACTCATGACAATGAAGCCGGTCCAAGTAGAATTCCACGTGTTAATTGTTGTTATTTACTTGTAATCTTTGAACCCTTATTGAATAAGTGAATTGTACAACATTTTTAACAAATTCTTATTCTTCTTCTTCCTTCTTCTCTATCTTTTGTAAAACCTAATAGGATTTCTTGTGTTTGTTCAAGAAACTCAATCTTTTTCTCATATTTTGCTTTGTTATTGATGACATTAATTCACAATATTTCCCTAATTAAAACTCTTGTTGTAGTCTCTGAAACACCTTTAGATAAAACTACATATAATTGTCCATGACTAAAAACATGTCGTAGAAGATATATTACAATATTTGGAATGGTATGTCCTTATGATTTATTTATTATAATTGCAAATTTTAGTCGTATAGGAAACCGTTCGCTACTAAGTACAAAACGCAACCCACCAATCTCATATGTTTTTATTTTAATTATGGGAAAGAAAACTCGTTTTCCTACGTTGTTTCCTGTCAATATTTCCACATCTAACATATTCATAAATAAACCACGACATGTCCCATTACACGGTCCATATCTAGGATATAGATTTTGCAACAACATAAATTGTTACACGAAATACCAAGATTATATTGTATTATTTAGATGAAAACTAAACATAATACTATTTTGCTTTAATATTCAGGCAAACTAGAACACAGTGAAATCTTCCAATTATGTGCGGAGTTGAGAAGGCAAAATGTTAAAACTTGCTTCGACATAAAAGTAAGTTATACTTAATCATTTCTCAAATGCTTTTATATTATAGATCAATTAAGTCATACTTATAGTGTGTAATCAATAAATTTTAGATATGAAACTTTGAAGATAAATGGAACACATTGAAGGATGAACAAACAATTTCATTCATCGACAAACTCGACACTAAGGTGTATTTACCTTTTTCATAATATGCATATAAAACTATTTGTTTCATTTTCACCCGTTTCACTAATACTTTTATCATCGTTATTACAACAGGTCAAACATCTAAAAATTTACTCTCTGCTGATTAGAGCTCCACGGTGATAACAGATAAAACGCAATTTTGAAAAATGGTGAAAAGAGAACTTATATCTCAAATGATAGAAATGTTTTTATTTTATTAATTTAAGAATATTTGTCCCTAGAATATTTTTAAAAGCATGTATTTAGCTTTTATTATTGGTTCATTTCTGTAAATAAAACCATATATATATTTACCAAGTCCGTTGTATAATTGTTTTATCAGGAATCCACATAATTCAAAAATAAGTCAGAATTGTTATTCTACCAAAACTAAACTAAAATAGAGTATCTCTATTTTCCGGGTATAATTTTATTTATGTCACAATAAATTAGATTATATTCTACGCATCACATGTTTTGGATATATTTGTTTGTAGATATGACATTTCGCGATGTATTTGTACTTTTTTAAAACTAAGAGCGCATTGATAAAGGAATGTATGAAGAATTGATTCGAAACTTTAAAAGGTAAACAAAAAATATACTATATTACATTAATTACTAATACTTTTACTATTTTTTTTCTTCAAACAATTCTAATATGTGAGTCTTACATTTTTTTCTTTACTACGGAAAAAAGTTACAGAGAAAAAGAAAATTCTTCTGATAAAAATTGTATGTTCGGTCTTCCTCTTAAAGAAAGTTTTTGATTACACCATATAAATAGTATTTTGTATGCTTCAGTACTTGAATATAATTTCGAATGTCTTTGTTTACAATTTTTAAAATATAATAATTGTGTCTAAGTAGAATTAGTTATAGTATGATGTATATCAAAAACTTCATAAAAGACTTATACATGTTAGCGAAAAAAATGTATTTTTAAAATAGTAATAAAATTGGTATATATAATTAATTCACTAAAGTATTTTTTAAATATACATTTATCATCTTGAATTTAAGTCTACTTGAGAGTGTCTAAATAATATTATTTTATATGCGACGTACAATAAAAACATCATACAAAGTATACACATGTTTATTTTTTTCTGCTATGCGCATTAGAAAAAAGGACAAATTAGCACGGAATTGTCCGTCTGAACGCTAGTTACACAATAAAAAATATACAAAATGACATTGTAAATAGTAAAGAAAATATTAGAGATAAATGATAAATTTATTTTTAAAATTTTTATTTAAATTTAAAAAAGATTACATATGTAACATTAATTTTATTTATTGTTGGACCCTATACATAGAACTGTCAAAACAGATTAGTCTATATGGGTCGGTTCGTTAGACCTAAAAAATTATAGAATTTGAGCCTTTAAATTAGAGCTCATATTTTTTAGAATTCTTCTACCCCAGTCTTAAAAAGTCTATTATTCATTAGGGTTAGTGTATATGAGTTGTGGGTAGTCCATTAGATTCACTTCGTTATAAATTTTAAAAAAGTTATATTATACTTATATTGTCTTACTCAAAAATAACGCATTAGTTTTTCTCACCTCACTAAATTTTATCTATATTCTATTCAATTTTTCTCTTTTAAATATTATACATTAATATAATCAACACTCTTTTCTCGTATTCTATTAATTTCTCTTATGATAAATATTCGAATATTATTTTATACAATTTAGATATATATTGTATTTAAAAACACATTATAGTATTTTATAAAAAATAATATAGTAATTAAAAATGTATTGTGTTTAAAATAATATAATTTTTAATTCTATTTATAATAAATATTATAGCATTTTTATTTTTATTTTTTATTTAAAAAAATCCGTTTAAGGCCGGATAGTCCAAAGCCCATTTAGAGGCGGACTCGGGTAGTAATTTAGACTTTTTTAGCCCAATCTTAAACATGCTCGAGTCCACCAAAATCGGTACATTTAAGACCGAGTAACCCATTTTAACAACTCTACTTTAGTGACCAAAAAATTCTGCATCATCTGAATTCTCTTTTCGTTTTATATATATATGCTTAATGTGGAAGTATGTATAACCATCATCTGTAATATCATTTGATCACCAGAAAAATATGTCTATCTCAGTATCTATATGAAGAAGAGCTCTAATGCAAAATACTTGCATAAAATTCTTTCGGTAGTGTTCATCTGGTTTCTAACTGAAAATTAAAAAACTGCAACAAGATAATGCATCCAAAAACTGAAATGACACAAGTTTTGGCAGGAATTAGATGAGTGTGCCTAAAAGTAAATTTTGCTGAGTAAATATGCACAAGTGTTTTTAGTGTAGTATTTCCGCTCTAATCGACTATGCTAACTACTTCGTGTAAACATGTCGTTTACGCAATCTTTTTTTAAAACAGCTGTTTGATCAAGTTTTTGATTAATTGAATGGTTGATATAAGTTTTCATTCAGAAGTAAAGCTAATCAGAATAATGAAGTAAAATTGCAATCTATATCATAAAGTAAACTTCAAGAAAAATATCCTAGAGGACAAAATGACAGCAACATTAAGCCCGGGACATAGTATGCCCTTTACACTTGAGATTCTATTTTAAATAATACAAGAACATGATAATGAAAGTTGAGTTTACATTGTTTGAAAATGGGAACATCATGAAAGATATCCAGTAAGTGAAGGGTGTAAGTTGTAATTGCATTCTGGTACAAGATCAATAGCCGCATCGTTGGAGAATCTCTTGCAAATTCCGAGGCAATCAGAATATATGAGCAATGTCATATGCAAATCTTTATTTTTATCAAGGAAGCACAGCATAACAGAATTTCAGCAGATGATATATAGGACTAGCAAAATTTGAATGAGCTAGGCAATGGCTTCTCAAATATATTGGAAAGTTCCACTAGTTTATTCTGAACAATTCAAAGTTGTTACTAAAACTTGAATTTATTTTTACCCCAACCCCCACCAGCCACATTTTAAATTTATGTTTATGACTTAAGTTTTGATGTAATAATGAAAAACTAATTTTATTTCTAAAATATATTTTATGATATTGAATAAAAACTAAATGTGCATTAATACTCCACCGAAGTATTATTGAGAAAGAAAAGGATACGTCCAGAACAGCACGAACGACTGCATGAATTCAAAAAAAAAGGAAAAAAGTTAAAATGCTGAACACATACATATTATGATCTGAATATATTGTTGAATTAATCAGATAAGATCAGCAAGACAATTCAAAATACCTCTTATTTTAAAAACTATACAAGCTTTACATTTAAAATTTCAATATGACATAGTAAAGCCCTACTTTTAGCTTTTCTCTTTATTTTTCTTTCCTAAAAGTGGGAAAAAGCCAAGTATTTTACAATTGAAATACCCAACTCATGAAGTATGCACAAATCATCACAAGGAAAACAAGCATTGCATTCCCTTTAAGAATATGACAAAATCTCTTATAGCCAATAAGCATAAGTGAACAACTGAGTAGAATTTTAATTTCTCTAGGAAATGATAGAGAATATTTACAATTGGATAACCTTCTAACTTTGCTTGACTCTGTTTGTTTGTCATGTAACCTAGAAAAAATTATTTGGACTCTTGGTTATTTTAATATACAGATTTGGAAGTTGTTTTTGACTTTCATAATCATTTTCTGAGTCAAAACAGAGAAAAATTTCTGCCAACAGAGAAGGCCACTGATAATTCAAAAAATACTAGTAGATTCTCTGGCATGGCCAGAGTAGATATTAGTATGATTAATACTAAAAGAAATTTCACATCTGCATGAGAGAAAGAGAAGGGAGCAGGATCAAAATAGTAAGATAATAAAGATTGCATGGACATGTCCTGTCAGTTATAAACAAACTATTAGCTGAACAACATTGCTATGTGCTGAACTACATAGATAGTAGAACAATACAATTACCACATTCATGTTGTTCAGCTAATACTTTGTTTTCAGCGCATCCAGTTGATAATAAGCAAAGAATATGGCTAACTCTAAAATGTTGATGACCATTTTGTTGCTTTCCCTAGCTTTCTAAATTTGATTTTATTTGAGGATGGTATCTAATTCTCTATTTGTATGTGTCTACGTATCTTATCCAAACTAATTTCTTCTTTCATGAAAACTAAAGATTTTACTCATACACAAATTCACACAAAAGAGAGATGTAGTGAACATGATCAACCTACCATTAGACCTCCGAGAAAGCCATCAACTAGCACGCGATTCCAGGAATCAAAGTATGTGTGGATTGAAAACTTTGATTTGACTATGAGCCCAACAGAAGTAAGTGCCATGAGAAGTAAGTAAAATACAAATCCGTACAAGCCTGTAAATCCCAAAATACCAGCAACAACTCCGCCAATAATAGATAAAAATGTACGGCTGCAAAAGAGACAAAGAAAATTCAATTGTGAACCTTAGATAACATTGAACAGTTGTTTCTTTGCATACCCCCCAACCCAACCCACTCAGACAAATCCCTATTTCCCCTTTCTGTGTGTGTTATATATACAAAAGCACTTGTGTGACTTTGAATTCATATAAATAGAATCATACAATTCCATCCATACTAAAACTACCGCCCCAAACAACTTCAATTGCTGTTGTATGGTCCACACATATGACGCTTTCAGCTATATGTATTATTTAACATAGTATTAAAATGTGCAATCAAACCAAACCTGTAATAGATGATTTTCATGTTGCTTTGCATATTCTCAGCATTAAAAGTCAGTAACTCATTCACTTCGTTGCTTGATTTCTCTGATGAACCTGACCCAGAATGTACAGCCATAGTATCTTGTCTATTTTGATGATATGTTCCTGTCAACAGAAAGATAGTTGAACAATTCTTACAGTAAATAAAACTGTTGAATTTTTAACTAAACCCTTTTCTGATGTGCTTTGTTGTATACACATTTTACAGTGTAATGTTAATTTTCAATTTACTTCACTTGTTTCAGTCTCATAAGCTCTATTCATATCGTATGTTTTCAATTTACATTTAAATTTGGAAAACAATAGTGTTGTTAAGAATAAATTTGTATAAAAAATGTCCGACCAACATTAGTAGTTACTTTGAGTTCTCTTTTATATTATAGTATAGTATAGATGAAGAAACACGGCAGTGGTTAAGAAACAGGTAATTTGAAAGACATGCTCACACCACAACATGTACCATATTTGACACACTAACATGCATTAAAAACTAATAGGAAAAGTAGATTAACCTACTGCGACCGAAATCTCTTCAAAATCTGTCAAAAAAAACTTCAAAATTTTCCAAACTGTATAGGTTGAAAATCTTCATACACTCGATGCTGCCTGTATAGCTGTCAACTTAACCCATCCCAATCCACTCAGCGCTAACCCATATTGCCAAAAAGTCCACTCTTAGAAAAACGCACAGGGCTACGACTATCCTAAGGGCCCTTGCAAGAAATCCATGGGTTTGATAGAGTATAACGGGTGTTCAATGTTTTGGATGCATGGATACTATTTTGGTTTCTTCTCAGGATACAAAAACTCCAATACAACCTAGGATTTTTTTTCTATTGGTCTAATCAGAAGATTTGGACGACAAAACAGGGGCTGTAAGGTAGAGGGATTAGCGGTAGAGGGATTAGCGGTAGAGGGATACAAAACCTTAAAATAAATTCTTGGTGAAATGGAAAATCAAGAAACAGATAAAGAATGTCACAAAGTGACTGAAAAAGAAATTAATAGAGGGTAGATATGATCAAGGTGAAAGGTGAAGGTGGAAATGGCTCGAAAATTATAGAACTCAAGTTTGGGTGAGATGTTGACCGCATGACGCTTAAAAGTTCATTAGAGACGAAAACCATAGCAGTCCAAACTGTGTCTTGGTGTGACGTAAAGGTCAATAAGGAAAAGGGTTTGTATATGTTGATCAAGAATGGATGGGAATACCCTGCAATGGCCAAAATAATTTGGATTCCAATGCTACAGTCAACCTTTGAACAACGGCGATACCACCAGATTGAGAGTCACTCATGGTAGCAGTGGAGATTTAAGTTAAAAGTTGTGCAACCATTTCAAACATAATGAGTCAGACACAAAGGTTAGTCTGTGGGTTTTTCATCCATTTTTAACTCAAATGCATCTCAACAGTCTGGATTTATGACCTCACAAAAACAGAGAATTGTATCTCAATGAAAGAGATCGGTTGGGAATACTCTGCAGAAGGCAAGACATGTTGGATTGTTATGGTAGGAAAGTGAAAAATGGTGAAAAATGAAGTGGGCTGAAGCACAAACGGGATCAACAAGCTCCTAGCAGTGAGATCCAGGAGGGCAGAACTTTTTTTTGGGTTATTTATAACATCTGATTAAAGGAATTGCCAACACTTACTCCTTGAATTTGTGGGATCTATGTGGCAACGTTAAAAAATAAAAGAGTAGGTTGCTCCTTATATTTGTAGAATACAGATGGCATCACTCTAAATGGAAGCAAGTTGCAAGGTGCCAAAACATCAACTTTAATGTATATATGTTGAAGGAAAAAGGAAAGTCAATGCATGTTATCAAGTACTACATCTACAAGAAGAATTTGGTAGATGTCAAACTTGAGGACAAGGTTGTTCTAAAGAGGGGAGTATTGTTAGGATATAAAATACTATATATTGGCGTAGTTAAAGTACTTAAGAGTTATTATAGAAGATAGTTAGTTGAGGATGTTACAGAGTATGTGTATAAATAAGAGAATGCAAAGGGTAGGGAGTATTTTTGAATATTGTAATTATGAAGGGGAAACTCTTGATGAGAGAGTCTCTCTTATTCTATCCAATTTCTTTGAAATCCAATTCTTGAGTTCCTAACAGTGTCTCACATTCTGGATTACAAGAAAAGAATAAACCGAACTTCAGAGGTTAGCATTGACCCTCCTAAAAATTACAACATACAAGTAGAGCTTTAGCAAAATCCTCAACCATGGACACATTGTTATTTAGAATTTTAGATTACAATTATTAGACTGCACGCAACAACATTCCAAAATCCAAAGTACAAAGTAAGGAAAATTAGAAATTGGAAAAAAAATAAGCAGACCACACAATATGATGACCACAAAATATGAAGAACACGTACACAATTGTTTCTACAATATACTTAATATGTAATCATATATTTATATTTATACCAATTAAAAAGCTTCAAATTTGACATTTTGATGCTTGATATTCATGTTAAGCACATAACACTCACCACTACATGTTAGTTGAATAGTATCCCCCAATGGTGGGCTACTTCCCATAAGGCTGTTTACTTTCGTATTAGTTAGATACATTGGTGCTATCCGGCTATTCCTATTGTCTGTAAAATCTTCTTAAGATTGGTGGGCTTGTTCCCATAAGGCTGATCATTTTCATGTTAGGTTCCATGTCCAACTCAGAAAAACTACAAACATTCAGTAAGTAAAAGTGGGAACTTCTTTCGAAATCAGTGATACCCATAGTGTAACACAATAATTGTCACATAAAGCTTTAAAACTAAATGACTATTGACCTCTTCTGACCTTTCTTGTTTAGTATAGCATGTTATTTTTTATTATAAGGAATATGTGATCTAGTTTTAGACTTGAGTCCAGTATTCACAATTGTTAAGAGGAAATAACAACTAAACACAGCGATTAAAAGATGTAAATGAACGATACAACAGCGGTGATTATAGCTAGATAGTTAATCGCAGCCAATTGCGATGCTATAACGGCGGTGCGGAGGGGGCAACCGCCGGCCGCTACAGCGATGCCAGGCGCGGCTGCCACGCTGCATTCCACGAGAACAACACCGACGAAGATTTCAAAAAATAAATCAATTAATCCCTAAGAGAACCCTAAAGAATCGAAGTAGATGGAGAAAACTGAACAAATCTGGAGAAAGAGTCAACTAATCACTGTAACTACCAACTATCAAGCACAGTTAAATGGAACAAATACCTAACAATCAGGCCGGAACAACGATGAATGGCGCTGCAGGTGACGGCGGTGACGTTGTTGGTGCCGGAATCTCAGCGCGGAAGTGTATCGAGGCAAGATGCGAGACGGAGAATTCTAAAATACTTGTTGGGGTTTATTTGAAGTTTTGTAATTGTTTGTTTTTTTACTAAGTTTTTTTTCGGTTCTATCATAACCTAACCTTTTTATTTAGTGGGCCATGAGCTGCGTGTTTGGGCTGCTAAAATTACTACTTTTGGTAACAACAAAAGGGTGTTATTATGTTGGAGGTAACTTCACTCTACTACACATCTTTAAAATACTAATCATGATTTCGAAAGTATTTTTTTGAACGCCATAAAAAAAAAAACTTTCTCTTAAAAAATATAAAAAAGAATAGATGATAAATTTAGGAAGTCTATATAATTTTTTAGGTAGATATTGATAATTAGTCGCAATAAATTTGAAAATATTCATCTATGGGTGGATGTCTCCTTCAATGTTGTGTGTATAATTTTACATTTAAGGAAATCCTCCATTTTAATTATCTCAATGGCAAGTTAATGTGTTCTAATGGGTCATTCTTTTCATTAAAAGTTATCAAAGATTGTAGTTCGAAGTGATCTAAAACAAATTCGTCCAAGATCTTAACGGAGATAGGGTCTAACTCTTTTATTTCGTCTTTTGCCTCCTTGTATTGTTGTTGTTGGATGTTTAGGATGCTAGATTAAAGGACTTTGTTTTGACGACACAACTCGTCCATGACTGCTTGTATCTTTGCGAGGACATCATAGTTGCTAGAGCTAGATGTATGTTTTGTGCATATCATTGTGAAAATAGCATACACAAAAGGCCTCACGCCTCACATTTTTCAACTCTAACACATGTTTTAATTAAAATACTAACGCTTTGATATTGAATCTTGTATAATATAATAGGTATTGCAAATTGATTGACAATATAAATCACTGTTTTTTATTCTGACTAGAATTTGATACCAGTCTATTTATAAGTAGAAAGATAATTAATTCTAATATTAGATCTAAATGTCGTTCTTAATGATATAAATAGAGACACTAAAATAACTGTGAGATATTGGATCGAAATCTAGTTTAGCATGTTGTCGAAGTCTGCTTGCATGTTGTAGTCGAAATGTGTTCTAGTAGTTGTCGAATTAGACCTTGTGTTAAGGATCCAATTGTTTAAGTTAGTTTGTACCCTAAGTTAGCTTGTAATGGGTAATTGTTAAAAAGTCCATTAGTTTAATATGTTAGGTTTTATTATAAATAGCATACTAGTCTCCCATCTTAAGTGTGGTGTGCAAATCCTAATTAAGGTGAGAGGGTTATTTGTTATTCTTGAGTACTTGTAATCTGATTTAAAGAGAAAGTAAAGAATAACAGTTATAACCAATCATTGTTGTTCTTCTTCTTCTTGTTTTATCGTTAACCCTAACCCTTGTGTGTTTCTTGTTCATAAAAAAATTGTTTATACTTTGTTTCAAGGTATCGTCTTTTGATAACAAATTGGTGCCGTGAGCGTGGAGGAGATGCCTTCAACAAAGTATGAGATTGAAAAGTTCACCGGAGTGAACGACTTCGGCCTGTGGAGCTTGAAGATGAAAGCCTTACTGGTTCAGCAGGGTTGTTTGGAAGCGTTGAAGGGAGGGGCAACCATGGATGTTGCGTTAACGGAAAAAGAAAAGACGACCATGATAGAGAAAGCTCAGAACACAATATTATTGAGTCTTGGTGATAAGGTTTTATGACAAGTATCAAAGAGACTACGACATCGGGGTTATGGTTGAAACTTGAAAGTTTGTACATGACCAAATCTCTAGTGAAT